AGAGACAGGGTTTCACCATGTTGACCAGGATGGTCTCGATCTCTTGACCTCGTGATCCACCCGCCTTGGCCTCCCAAAGTGCTGGGATTACAGGCTTGAGCCACCGTGCCCGGCCTTATATTGGTGATTTCTAAACAGTATCTTGGCCCCCTTTTTTCAGTGTCCTCTGAAATTTAGACATTTGTCCAAGTTCAGGGCTCATCACTGTTCCGTTATCACATTACATTCTTTCCTTTATGAACTTAGAGATTCCCACAGATTTTGCTTTCATTTCTGAAGTATAATTCTGAAATTTTTCCTGACATTTCTTAAGGTCTGCACCTGTGTTCTAGCAGACTACTGGGAATCTCCACTTGAATATCCAACAAGTACCTCAAACTCTACATGTTCAAAACACAACTTTCATCCTCCCACTCTTAGTTCATGGTATCACTATTCTAATCTAATTAGTAGCTAAATCTTTTTTTTGAGACAAAGTTTCGCTCTTGTTGCCCAGGCTGAAGTGCAGTGGCACGATCTTGGCTCACTACAACCTCCACCCCCCAGGTTCAAGCAATTCTCCTGCCTCAGCCTCCCGAATGGCTGGGATTACAGGCATGCACCACCGCGCCTGGCTAATTTTTTTGAATTTTTAGTAGAGACAGGGTTTCTCCATGTTGGTCAGGCTGATCTCAAACTCCTGATCTTGGGTGATCCACCCACCTCTGCTTCCCAAAGTGCTGGGATGACAGGTGTGAGCCACTGCACCCGGCCTCTAAATCTTCTTTTTAACTCTGCAGCGTCTCTTTCTACTTCTCTTGCTATTTCCCTAAATGAAGGCCTTCATCACCTCACACTTGAATTTTTAAAGTAGCTTCCTACCTAATCTCCCTTTTTCTACTCTTTCCCCACTTCAATCCATCATATATAGACACCAATTACATTTCCAAAATACAGCTGAGAATATTTCACTCCTAGACTGTAAGCCCTTTGGCAAGGAAACATGTTTATTCATTTCTTTTTTTATTCCTGGAACCTAGCACAATGCCAGATACATAGTAGTCTCTTGATAAAAATTTGCTGTTGATTTGAATTTCTTGCTCAAAGACTTTCCATAGCCTCCTCCACAATGTGGCCTTTAGTGATTCCTTCTTTAACATCATTTTACTCACCATTTACTGAATATGCCTCATTACTGTCACCTCTCAGCCTTTGCACAAACATGCCATTCTGGTCTGCCTTCCCCCAGGAATACTATTCCCCATTCCCTTACCACTAGCTCTCAAAGTTCTACCTGCCTTTCACTGCCCAGTTCAAACACCACTTCCTTTAAGAAATTTGCCCCAATCGTACTCTCTCAGGATACATCATCTCTCCTCCCATTCTCCCACTAATACTTCATATCTTTGTTATAGCATAGGGATATTTATTCATATATCCTCCACCCTGAAGGGTAAGAATAAGGTTTTTGTTATTTGTAAAACCTAGCAGCTAGCATAGTGCTTTGCACAAAGCAAAAACATTGAGGGGAATTCAATCAAATACCACTTGCTAAGAAAATCAACAAATAATCTGTTTGAACTGGAATTCCAGATAATTTTATTTCTGTGCTGCATACTAAACAGAAATAAAATTCTTAGGAAAGTTACCTAAATAAGTGAATGACAAATGTAAATTTGTCTCATCTATTCTGGTGAAGTCTTACCACTTATTTAGCCTTACCTTATTTAGTTCTGGTGAAGCCTTACCACTTATTTAGTTCTCTTCCCAGCTCAGGGTAAACCACTACAGGCAAATATGTTTTAGAAGGTTTTTTTCCTCTATACGTGGGGCATATGATACCAGTGAGTGATACTATATTCAAGTACAGCAACTTGGCGCAGGGAGGGCATGATCCAAGGAAGGCATTTGGGGATGAAATAGGCATATTTCCTAGGAGCAGTCCGTTCCAAACAAGTCTATTTCCACCTGGATCAAACTATTCTAAAAGCTTTTCAGGTTTTACATAACAATCTAGAAAGCAGGTCATTTTCTCAATGGACATTGAGAGGCAACTATGGCCAGTTTGCTCTGACTCTATTATCAGTATGTCCTCAGTACTCATAAGCTTCCTGTTTTCCTAACTTGATGACATTGTTGCATTAAAGGAGGTCCTCTGGGCTCATATTATTTTAGAACGTATTGTTGCTTTACCTTACTCTAGTAAAATGGCTTTTGGTCTCTTAGAGCATCAGGACCATTAGCATCTATTTATTTTCAGGCATCTGAAGAACCTAAAAATCAAGGAAGTATTAGGAAGTTTAAGAAAAAAAAAATACTGCTAGTAATGTTATGCTAAGTGTTATTCTAATTTTTTAAAAGTTCTGTAATTTTCTATGAACCCTCTTTGCAGGAAAATGCATAAATACACACATGCAAAATTGGCAAACAAATTAAGGAGTTTCCTAAATTCCCAAAATCTAGCCATGAACCACAGAATTCCTGTCCTAATAAATTAGTCATCATTACCACCATCATAAAATTATGTCTTTTAACCCTTTTCCCATTTGCCTTGAGAATCCTCACCAGCCAGGCTTGTTGCTATAGTGTTTACCCAGAGATAACTTTGCCATGAAATATCTCATTTTTATTATTATTTTTGCATTGCTCTAGTATATCGACTTTGGAAACAAAAGACATCTTTGTATTTATAGCATTCTATTTTTAGTAGTGGCACTTCCATTACAAAATATAGTAATTCTCAATCCCTGAAAATGTCACATCTTAGAAAACAAAGCATTGCTACTCATAATGTTAACATCATTCTCAAACAGTTGTTGGCTGAAGATACAACTGATGAATCTGATTTTTCTGAAATAGAAAATTCTGATGATTCAGACAATTCTGATATTAGTTCTATTCAGAAATAACTCCAAGCACAGTTTTTATATTTTATTTTCACATCGAAAATCAGTCAGATTTGCTTCAGCCTCAAAGAGTGTGTTTATGTAAAATTAAATGAATGCTGCACTTTTTTCTAAAGGAGGAAAGGGTTCAAATAAAGTTTATATTTAAATGAAAGTGTCATATCTTCTCAAAACATCCAAAACTAGCAATAAAGTACATTTGGAATTGAACAATGTATTTTGTGTACTCTCCCTATATAAAGTAATTTAAAGAAAATCCTTTAAAATGCATAGATTCCCCAGGTGTGTACTAACAGTTTTGTATTTGTTATTCTTATAAATGAAAAAATGCCGTAATTATCTTATGAGATTTCTAGTTTACTAGATTTCCACTATAGTATAGGGTATTTGTATTTCTAAGATATGATTATTTGGGGCAGTATTTCTTTGTTCACATTAAACTGCTAACTCATGAACTATCTTTTCTTCAACCAAATCTAAAAGATGAAGAAGAAAAGAAAGAAATGAAAGCAGATGAAGAAGGCTGACATTTCAGAAGAGAGAAGGGCATGAAGGAAAACAGTATCAGACAGGAAACAGAGGATATTAAAAAATTATTTTTTCTTTACTTTTTTTTCTTACCACAGTACTAATGGGAAAAAACTTTTTTAGAATTAAGTTTAATATATACAAACACCACATTTTTGGCAGGGGTACCTTAGAATCAGTAAGCCAATATTAGATGAGCAATTACCAAATGCTGGGAATGACTACTCTAAATCAAAACCTTATTTTTTCTGTTTTGAATACGACATCAAATTCATTTATAAATATCCTTATTTTTTTAACTTTGTCTCTGAAAAATTTTGCACTATATTTTTTTAAATTCTTATTTTTAATTGACAACTATTAGGTTCAGCCTTTGGAAACAGCAAAATAGTAATATTACCTAGTGATATTCAACTTGCTGATTTTTCTAATATAGTTGAAATATAACGCTATATTTTAATGACTCTACTGACAAATGCCAAATGAAAATGAAAATGATTTAGTTCCAAAAATTAAAAACACAAGGATGTCATATTTAAAGAAGGAAAGAAAATTGGTTATCCTCATAAATAAAATGTCCTGGGCATAAATAAACCAATAGTTTCTAATATAGTGTTAGAGATCAGAATCTGCTGCTATTTAATTTTATCTTCTAATTACAAAGTATTATTTTTTAAATCTTACATTTTGCTTCCTAATATTTCCTATAAACTAACATAAAAAAATATTTTTTAGCTTATAATTGCCCCAGGAGTAGAAGCAACTGCCTTGATAATTCGACAGATTGCTGACCACAATTTAATGACCTCAAAGAGAGATCCTCATGAATGGTTGGATAAATCCTGGCTTGAAGTTTCACCGTCTGAGGTATATTTTCTAAATGTATAAATTAGATATTAGCAAAGCAAGTATAAAACCCTGTATTTGAATTTACTTTCTGGTAACATTTTTTCCCCCAAATGTCTCAAATTGAGTGGTAGGTGCAATGACAACATTTTTAATCTGCTGCAATGAGTAGAATAAAATGGATCACTTTCAAAAGACTACTGACTGATTACTTCTTAAATTCTTTACTAGGAAGAAATGCACTTACTTGATTTTCCATGTATTAACCCATTGGTGGCTCAGCTCATGCTAAATAAAGGACCTTCACTGCATTGGATATTATTAGCAACTCTGTGTCAACTTCAGGAACTCCTACCTGAAGTTCCAGAAAAAGTGTTAAAGGTTAGTTATTTGAGATCTGTATTCTGATATGAATACATATTATTATTTCCTTTTAATTTGAGTTTCTATTTTTACAATAGGATTTTAAAAATGAAGCTATCCAAGTTTAATTGTTTTGGACTCCAAATAGCAAAGAAATAATTTACTTGAACGAAATTTCATATAGATTTTTCATTAGCTATCAATTATATTATACATTTTATTTTATTTTATTTATTTTTATTATGATGATTTGTTTTTTGAGACAGAGTTTCACTCTTGTTGCTCAGGCTATGGTGCAATGGTACAATCCCAGCCAACTGCAACCTCCACCTCCCAGGTTCAAGCAATTTTCCTGCCTCAGCCTTCCAAGTAGCTGGGATTACAAGCATGCACCACCACACCTGGCTAATTTTGTATTTTTTTTTTTTAAGTAGAGACAAGGTTTTACCATGTTGGTTAGTTTGGTCTCAAACTCCTGATCTCAGGTGATTCACCCACCTTGGCCTTCCAAAGTGCTGGGCTTACAATATTTTTTTCTTTTCTTGAGATGGAGTCTCTCTCTGCCACCCAGGCTTGAGTGTAGTGGTGTGATCTCAGCCCACTGCAATCTCTACCTCCTGGGTTCAAGATATTCTCATGCCTCAGCCTTGTGAGCAGCTGGGACTACAGGTGTGCACTACCATACCCGGCTAAATTGTGTATTTTTAGTAGAGCTGGTCTCAAACTCCTGACCTCAAGTGATCTAACCGCCTCAGCTTCCCAAAGTGCTGGAATTACAGGCATGAGCCATAAACCCCCACCTATGTTATACATTCTAAAGCTATTTTATACAGATAAATTCAATATAGTCAGCTTTATCACACTTCAAATCATTTTGGAATATTATTATGCTCACAGAAAATTCAATTATGCACCCTGTTCACATGTATTTACATTACCTCTTCCAAACAGTCCTAACACACCCTTCGTTTTAGCTGTAAAGAGAACTTTAACCTTATTGGCAATATTTTAAAATTCTTATCGAGGAAATAGTATTCATGTATGAATTGTATAACTAAAAATTCTATTATATTTGCTGTGAGCCTAAAATTGTTCTGAAAAAATAGACTATTAAAAATTCCAGGCCGGGCGCGGTGGCTCAAGCCTGTAATCCCAGCACTTTGGGAGGCCGAGGCGGGTGGATCACGAGGTCAAGAGATCGAGACCATCCTGGTCAACACGGTGAAACCCCGTCTCTACTAAAACTACAAAAAATTAGCTGGGCATGGTGGCGTGTGCCTGTAATCCCAGCTACTCAGGAGGCTGAGGCAGAAGAATTGCCTGAACCCAGGAGGCAGAGGTTGCGGTGAGCCGAGATCGTGCCATTGCACTCCAGCCTGGGTAACAAGAGCGAAACTCCGTCTCAAAACAAAAAAAAACAAAAAACAAAACAAAACAAAAACCAAAAATTCCACTACAAGTGATTTAAAAATATGTGTGACTTACAATGACTTTTTCTTTTAATAGAGCCTAATGATTTCATGTTCTTAATACCTGGCTCAATGTATATCTATGAATAGACTACTTATTTATATTTTGCATTCTTTCTGTATAGATAAGCATCATTATTTCTATTTACTAAACTGTTTGTATTATATTAATTTTTTAGCATTTTTGTAGTATCACTTCCCTATTCAAGATTAGTTCTTCTTCCATAACAAAATCACCGCAAATTTCATCACCTCAGGAAAATAGGAATCAGATTAGTGACTTGTCTTCTCAGAGTTCAACTTCTGATTTAGACTCCGTCATTCAAGAACATAATGAATGTTATCAGTATTTAGGATTAGGAGAGACATTGCAGGAAGACACAACCACCACTTCGAATTACAACTCTTCCATTATGGAACTAAAAGAAACGGCAGGTTTTTTACCACCCATGACTTCATACAATCAGACCAGCTACTGGAAAGACTCCAGTTGTAACCCTGATAATGTGCAGAATACTCCTTTTCTAATTAATATAGAATCAAGGAGACCGACTTATAACTCCTTTCTAAACCACAGTGAGTCAGAGTCAGATGTCTTTTCTTTGGGTCTAACACAAATGAACTGTGAAACTATAAAATCACCAATTGACACTCAGAAGAGAGTGTCAGTTGTTCCCAGTTTTATAAACTCTCAGAAAAGAAGAACACATGAAGCAAATGATTTTGTAAATAAAGAAGTAGCTGACCCTATCTTTTTACTAGAGGGCTCTCAATCTCCTCTTCATTGGAACTTTAAGAAAAATATATGGGAACAAGAGAATCACGCGTTCAACTTACAATATGGTACAGAGCAGACTACATGTAATAAATTGTACTCTCAGAAAGGTAATTTATTCACTGATGAGCAAAAATGTCAATCAAATGAGTTTGAAGCCCTCACATGTGAAAGTTCAAATGCTGAGACTTTCTGGAGAGAATTACCATCTGTCCCCAGTTTGGATTTATTTTGTGCTTCTGATTCTAATGCAAATCAAAAAGAATTCGACAGCCTTTATTTCTACCAAAGATCTGGAAAAAGTTTGGGAGAGAAAAGGCACCCTGAATCTTCATTTAACTCAGGAGACAAGGAATCGTTAACAGGTAATACTATCCAATAGATGACAAAACTATTCTCAAATTTAATTTAAAAAGATAAAACCATCTCCAAATTTAAATTTTTTTGTTTTAATGACTACACTTAAAAACCTTCTCTAATAACTGTTAGGTAAAAGAGAAAATCTAAACTCTAAAATAAATGCAAAGAAAATATATTATGTTAAATTCTTATAGCCTTAAGTGAACTAAGCAGTCAACTTAAGAAGTTAAAAATAAAAGCAGTACAACTCTAAGTAAAGCAGAAAACTAAAATCAACAAAGATTAAACAGAGGAATCAGTGAATTAGAAAATTCACTGATATAGGTATATTTAATTGACTAACATTTATTAAAAGAGCCTAATTAGGTGCTAGTCTCTATTCTAAGTTCTTTTTTGGATTATTTAATTCTAACAATTCCATTAAATAGGTACTATCATTAGCTCCATTCTGGTGGATGCTTTTGAGTTGTCTGAACATTTAAACATATCAAATTTTTAAAAGAACAATTTAATTTTCTTATTTCTAGTGATTATAGCTTTCACTGTCATTTCTTATTGCATTGGCCCAAGCATCTAAAACAAAATATTAAATCTAACGGCCATGAAAAGGTGGCCTTCCCCAGGATAGGAGAAAAAGGGAGGGGCAGGGGGAAGCTTAAGTTTCAAACTTCTGTTTTTCATAGGTCCTTTTTGTTAGTCCTGAGAGGGACCAAGAAAATCTTGTATTCTTGTTTTGTTTTTAAAAGGCCTCCCAAATTGTACAAGCTCTGGGACTTATAATACTTGAATTTGCTCGCATTTAATAGTCACAACTTGTTTTGTTCCTCACTTTATTGGGAAGTATTCTGTGTCTAGTTTTGTGTGAACTTCTGTGAAAAATAGATGCTGAATTCTATCCGAACTCTTTTTAGTACTTATTGGGAAAAATCAAATGTGTCTTCTCTATTGACCTCTTCATGTCAAAGATTATACTTACAGGTTTACTAATATTAAATTATCTTTACCATTTCTGTGATTAACATAACTGATTTTTGAGGGATGATTTTTTTCATTTTTATATTTTTATTTTATTTAATATTTCATGCTACCTTGTCTAAGAGATTTTTTTTTTCTTTTTTAAAGTCAGTATCTCCCTCTGTGGCTCAGGCTGGAGTACAGTGGTATGATTGGCTCACTGCCACTTCCACCTTTCCAGCTCAAGCAATCCTCCCATCTTAGGCTCCCAAATAGCTAAGATTACAGGCTCATACCACCACACCTGGCTAATTTGTTTCTATTTTTAGTAGATACAGGATTTTCTTATGTTGTCCAGGCTGATCTTGAACTCTTGGGCTCTATCGATCCACCTGCCTTGGCCTCCCAAAGTGCTGGGATTACAGGCATGAACCACTGGGCCCAACCTAAGAGATTCTTTTACTATGCTGTTAAATATGGTAGCTAATATTTATTTATGATTTTCATGTCTACATTCATGAAATTAGATTGCGTTCTTTATTTGTGCCTCATCACATTTTGACATAAAGGTTATGCTAACCTCATAAATTAGATGAAAATTTCATCTTTTTCTACTCTGTAACAAAATACACATGTGAATTACTATATGTTCTTGAGCACAGGGAACTCCAACATATAACCTCCCATTTTTTAATGAGAAGATCTAGAAGTCGTTTTTAAATAAATTCTAACATTTAAGCTTTAGGTATATGAGTAGAATAGTCAAACATCTACCTACATTTTAATTCACTAATTTAGATATATATTTTTAAATCACATACTCTATAAAATAATGTCAGTTTAGAAATATTAATTTCTTCCACTTTTCCAGTTATTTCCATGAAATAATTTTATTCAAACAGTTCACATGAATCTTTGATACTAGTATCTTCATTCACTATGGCAAATTTTATTTAACTGATTTTTCATAGTACATCATTACCTCCAAATACATTGTTTAAGGTACAACACTTTTTGAATTAATACTGGCACAGCCTTGGAAATTTTATCCAACACCATTAGTGTAACCCATAACCTCAAGATAATTTTCCATTTGTCCCGAAGTGTACATATGTGCTCTCTATGATATAATTACTTACTACATTGCTTTATTTTTATTTGTTGGCATGTCTGTTTAACAAAATATATTGCTTTTTAAACTTATTGTTATTACTGACAGACTCTTTCTCTGTCACCCAGGCTGAATCATCCCTCTTCAACCTCTTGAGTGTCTGGAACGTAAGGCATGCACCACCACACCCAGCTAATTTTTATATTTTTTGTAGAGAAAGGTCTTGCCATGTTGCCCAGTCTGGTCTCAAACTCTTGGGCTCAAGCAGTCTGCTTGGCTTAGCCTTCCAAAGTGGTGGGATTACAGGTGGAAACTACTGCATCTGGCCCTGCCTTTTAAACTTTTAAATAATAGTATCACAACTCTTACAATTATGAGATTATATCCCCAGGGATAATTACCACAACTGATTTAAATTTTTTAGTTTTCCATTTTACTGATTTAATAATTGGCCTCTATAAGTATCAAAATATAGGATATTTCATGTTAATGTATCATATATTAAAAAGCCATATAAGGTGAGTTCTTACATGATCACCACCTATCATTCATCAGGGCTTAGGATAAATTTCACATTATAGCTATGGGTCAAGGAGCAAGCTAATGAGGGAAAACTTAAAAGCAAGAGTATTAAAAATGGCATATTAAAGACAGGAATGGAAGCTGAATATGAGCTACTAATACCATTTTTAAATATGGTATTCTAATTTGTATTTTTTTCTTATTGATCTATTATGATTTTGAGCCAAGTGGGGTTTTTTTCATGTTGGTTTTTTTTTTTTTTTTTACTTTTTTTTTTTTTTTTTATTTTTTTTTTTTTTTTTTTTTTTTATTTCTGATAATTGTATTGCTGTCATTTTATTATTTACTCCTTCCATTTATTAATGATAATTCTTTATCCAACTTGGTAAGGATGTAGTAAATTTTGCTCATAATATCCAAAATGCTGGTAATCTCTTCAAAACTGTTTTCATCTGTGAATTTACTTGGGACACTTTGTATTGGTTAGCTGGAAATTTGTGTGTGCCTTATAATTGAACATGTGGATACTAATATAGGGATAACTATATGTAGATATCCATATATAAATAATATGTGGATATCCATACATAAATAATATACAGAAAATAAATTGGAGTTATTAAATAGGTGCAAAATATACATTCATTTCATAGGAAAGCTTCCTGGAAGCTCCAGAAAAAGAAATTTTAGTATTTTTAGAAATTTTAGAATTGGCTGTGAGAGATTGATATGCAGGAAAAAAACATTGTTTCTATCACATTGGCAGCTTAAAATCAGCCATGGTGGTGGGCATCTTCATACCACAAAAATTGGCAAATGCTGTAAATCAGGCCTTTCCCTGTTTTCCCCACACCACCCCAAGAGCTGGTTGATAAACATTTACCAGCCTGCTACTGGTAGTCCAGGCTCTCCCACAGCTTTACAGTGAAGGACCAAGGTCCTGTCATCATTAATATTCCCTGTGTTTCATCTAATTGTGCATTTAAGGATTCTTTAACTTCTTAATTGGAGTTAAAGATTTGTTTTCCAGATATGCCTTTAAAGACATGAATTTTCAGATAGATTTCCTAAATACATAACATATCCCTGAAAAGAAATTGTCCTTAGTGAAAATGATGCCTCATAGAGGGTGTATGTTCCTGAGAAGAAAATTAGCCCAAGTGAAAAAAAGCTGCAGTCAGGAATAGGAAGGGCAAACCAAAAAAAAAAGAAGAAGGAAAAAAAACCCTGAAAAAATTGTATACACTCTCACCACAAAGATGGATACCAGGTACACAGAGACCAGGCATATGTCTTTGTTTTAGGTTCAAAGTCTGTCACAATGAGCCTCTAACTTACATCCTAATTAATGAGGACTTATTAGAAACTTTCAGGAATTAGGAAGCCCTGGCTGAGTTGCTTCCCAAACCATTTGGATTGTTTTTACTTAAAAATGTTAGAACTAGGACAGACCTTAGAGATTATGTATTATAACTTTTCATTTCACAGAAGAGAAAACTGAAATCCAGGGTGATTTAACTACTTCTACAAGGCATAAGCATAAAAATATATGCATTTATTACTAATTTTTAATACTAGGCCATGAGGTACAGAGGCATTTATGTTTAAAACATACTTTTTAATAATTATTATTTTATCCTCGTTTAGAAATTTTGGCACTTCGTAGATAGATGATGAAGACACAGAATCCATTTGAATAGTAAGGAAAAAATATCTATACTTACTTAACTATTGTAAGCAATAAAATGGTTATCCTTTTTCTTTTTTAAACAGGTTTTATGTACTCACAACGACCACAATTCAAAAAACGACGTCTAGCATATGAAAAAGTCCCTGGTAGAGTTGATGGGCAGACTCGGCTGAGGTTTTTTTGAAGGAGAAGAGCAGTGCTACATGCTATATCCCACTGCTTTGGATGATAATTCACTAGCAAAATTATTTAGATTTGCTCATACATTAAAGAAAATGCAATTCTTCATACATGTCTCAGTGTTTCTGTATTAAATATTCATAATATGTATTCTGCCCTATGGTTTGCATATTTGTAAGTTAAATATTCTAATATATCAATTAACAATTATCATAAGACCCAAATTGTCTTCCAGATACCCCTACACACAAACGATTTAAATGAGTCTCCATTACAGTCTGACCCTTTGAGTCAGGAAGTGAAGATCAGCAGTTAACCCTCCCACATCCAAGAAAGTTAAAACCTAGGACAAAATTGAAGTTAGAAAACTTCCATTTTAAAGTATTGTTTTCTGTAAACACAATTTAAGAACAAATGACTAAGAGGAAATATTTGCAATCCAGATCACAGGAAAAAAGGTTTACATTCCTCATACACAAAAAATTCCTACAAATTGATAGGAAGAAGACAACCTGATAGAAGAATGGGCAAAATATATGAATAGATATTTCCTCAGGAAAAAAACAAAAATAGTCAATAAACATTTGATACAATATGAAGCTTCATCACTTATTAAGCAAATGCAAATGAAAACAATTGTTACCATTTTTTCATCTATCAGCCGCCAAAATTTTTGAAAATTAATGCTATCCAATGTCTACATATTGAAGAAAAGACCACTTTCCTATATTGTCTGTACAGCTTCATTAGAGCACAGTTTGTGTAAACCTACTAAGATGAAAAGTGATCCTTTCTTTTGACTCAACAATCACATTTTCAGGAATCTGTCTTAAATAAATATTCAATTACACAATGAAATATATAATTTATAATAGGCAAAAGTTGTAGGCAATAAAAATGCTATCAATAGGGGAATAGGTAAACAACTTAGACTATAAAATATCATGAAACTATTAGAAGAAAGTAAGTCTGGGTGCTCTGACAAGGCAGGATGTCCATAATATAAAGAGTAAAAAAAAAAAAAAGGTGGGGGGTGGGAAATAATACATAAAATACTTTGTGTTGTACAACTCCATTTTTGTTTTTGAAAAATAGACCTTTGAAAATTCTAAATTTTTCCAAAATGATCACTATATCAGGGAATAATGTGGGCATAAGATGAATTTTACATTCTGATATGCAATTTTGTTTACCAGAAACTCTAGGTGAACTAAAAAATGACACCCAACTGAAATAAACTGGATAGGAATACACATAACACACACACACATTTCACAAGGTCATTGATCCATACAATGTCGCCAGTGCCACATCTGGTGTCTCAACTTTCTGGCTAGATAACCCACCTGTTACTACCTCACAGTAACTTGCCAGTTGCAGCTTGGCTAAGCAGCTTCCTACCTTCCCTTTTCTTTAATTGTTCCCCACTTTCCTCTCAGGTCTCTGCCATATTTCTCTGTTTATTCTCTCACTCTTCTTTAATCTCGCTTTTGTTCTTTTCCTTGAGCAGAAAGGGTACCGGCCATGGTCATTAGGCAGGGCTGGCCAGTGGGACAGTGGAGCCTACAGGTTCACGAGCAAACTGGGTATTTTTCAAGGTAAGGAGCCATATATATTATAATATTTGTGTATCCCTTAACCATTTAGCATGTTTAAAACTGTGCTATCATTTTCATTAGATTTCTGTCTTTTTTATTGTCACTGGCAAAATTTTTTAGTATTAAGCCCCAGCTCCATTTTCCCATAAGCCCTGTGGTGGTTATTGTGTGATTTTACATAGCTTGGTGCTTTTTAGGAATGCCTGTGTCATGTTATAGCAGCACTGCCTGGATATATATTCTTCTTAGCAGCTGCTTAATATAATCTGCCATGATATATTTAATTATTCTCTCACTAATGAACATTTAGGTTGACTTCAGCTTTGGCATGAAAAATATATAGACAGGTCGGGCGCGGTGGCTCAAGCCTGTAATCCCAGCACTTTGGGAGGCCGAGGCGGGTGGATCACGAGGTCAAGAGATCGAGACCATCCTGGTCAATATGGTGAAACCCCGTCTCTACTAAAAATACAAAAAATTAGCTGGGCATGGTGGCGCGTGTCTGTAGTCCCAGCTACTCAGGAGGCTGAGGCAGGAGAATTGCCTGAACCCAGGAGGCGGAGGTTGCGGTGAGCGAGATTGCGCCATTGCACTCCAGCCTGGGTAACAAGAGCGAAACTCCGTCTCAAAAAAAAAAAAAAAAAAAAAAAAAAAAAAAAAAAAAAAAAAAAAAAAAAAAAAAAAAAAAAAAAAGAAAAATATATAGACAGACACATTCTCAAACTTTTAACAGTGGGAGATAGAGTAATAAATACAAAGGTTGTCATTCTTTATAAATTTGGATATATTTTAAAGATACGGCTGAAGAATCAGGGATAGTACCAAGGTTTGTGGCCTAAGAAGAATGATGTTGCCATTTATTGCTATGGGGAAGATTACGAGAGAGGTATAATTTACAGAGCTTGAGAGCTCAATTTTTGGGCAAGTTAAATTTTGAAATACCTACTTGACTTCCAAGTGGAGATTTTAAGTAGGTATTTGTACTATGTAAGTCTCAAGTTCAATAGAATATGTAAATCTGGGAAGTATAAATTTGGGAGTCATCAAAGTATAAATGATATTTAAAGCTATAAAAATGGATAAGATTGCCAACATGGTGAATATAGATAGAAAATAGATTTCAAACACCAAGCCATGGAACAACATTAGAGAGAAATAGAGGAAAACGGAAAGGAGACTGAGAAGAAGCAATCAGTGATGTAGGAAAAAAACCAGATTTCCTGGAAGCCAAATAAAGAAGATCTTTCCAGAAGGAGAGCATAATCGGTTGTGTTAACTACTATTGACAAATGAAGTGAGAGGAAGAAAGAGAACCATTGGATTTACCAATGTGGAGCTCTTTGGTGATCTTGATAGGAGCAGTGTTTGGAGCAGTGGTAGGGCCAAAAGCCTGATTATAATAGATTCCACAAAGCACAGGAAAGGAAAACAGAAGATGGGGAGTTTAGACAACTCTTTCTGAAACTTTTGCTGTATAGATGAGAGATGGGGTATTGGCTAGAGGAAGAAGCCAAGAGAGGGTAGTCTTCACATAGAAAAATCTCATAGTGTTTGTAAATGGATGGGAAAAATCCAGTACAGGAGCAAATGTTAATGGAGACAGAGACAGAGAGAGATTTGCTAAACAGAAGTCCCTGGGAAGGTGAAAAGAGATGGGATATAGTGCAGACAAGAAGGGAGTTGGTCTTGGCTAGGACTATAGAGAGATCATCCACAGACATAAGAAGAACTTCCATTGAGATTATGGGCATAGATACAAGCAGATGTTGTGGAAGATTATGGCCATTCTGTTCTGATTGTTTCTAATTTTTTCTCTTAACTTTTCTGTTTTCTTTGACAGAAAAGCAGAAGCACTGAGTGTTATAGAATAAAGGATTTATGGTAAGGATTAGGCCTTGTTCAAATGCAGAAACTGGTTTAAAAGTTATGTAAGACAGTTGCTTTTGCATCTGGTGTTCGGCCTGAAGTCACTTCAGGTCAGCCAAGCTCATTGTCAGGAGAGTTGGAAGCAAAATGGGGAAGATAAACTGGAAGTTGCCAGGATGAACTAGAGCCACTTTCAACCTCAGTGATATGAAAGCAAGGAAGCTGAGAATGAAGGAGAAGGTATTGGAGATTTGAGGAGAAAGAAATTATGACACAGTCATCTAGGATAGTGAGAGAGTGAAGGAAATGGGGAACCATAGTGTATGTTTGCCAGACAATATTAAAGATCATCTTAAATGAGTAGTCCTGACTCTAAAGTGAGAGCATTAAGTAGGTCACAAATGGAGGAGGGGTGCCCAGTAGAAAGGAGGAAAACAAAGACAGAGAATTGCATTTAAAGGGCTGCTGCTTAGCCAAGATTGTGCAAAGAAGCAAAAGTGAGAGTGGGACAAGGGAGCTGATAGAGCATCAAAGGCAGTGACCATAATCATGATAATGTTATAAGTTATCCTTATAAATGGGACATAAAGTACATTTTATTATAAATTGAGCTGTGCATACAACCCCTATATAGAGCTTTCTCTAAACCATGTTCAAAATTCTGAGGCTAAACCTGAAGTCCACATGGGGTCTCCCTTCCGTCCTACCCTCAACAATGATCTTCCCCTTGACATTTAAATGTACTTAAGCTTCTGAAGGAACCTTTTCTAGACTTCATATCCCCTCCAACTACTCCTGCTCTGTTCTCTTTCACAGCACTTTCACAGCTGAACTACTCAAGATGTGTATATATCAAAAGTCTTTAGACTGAGGTACACCTACCACTAGGGCATATTACAAAGCCATTTCAAGGAGCAAGTACATGGGCACCAACAGTTTTAAAACAGTAAATTTCCAGTGCTTCAATTTCCACAGGCACTCTTTCCCAAGCCAGAGAACACACCTGAGACCTACATATCACAATGGTTCTCCTTTCCATCCTTACAAGTGTCCTTCCACTTTGTAAAATAAATGTGTATCTCTCACCCATCCTGAATCTTACTAAGGTCCAAGATCTAAGTTGTAAACACCACTGAAGCACTAAATAAACAATTTGAAATATTGGCATCAGCAAAATTCCTTTAATTAAAGCATGATAACATCCCATTCAAATCACTAAGACCATTACATTTACTTTTTAAAATCTAAATAAGCTTTCAATTTTAGAATAGATTAACAGAAAAGTTACAAAAATAGTAGAGTTCCCAAATATAAAACACCAAATTTCTCCTATTACTAATCTCTTACATTACTATTACTGTGGTACAGCAGTCACAACTAATGAACCAATGTTGATACATTATTAACTAAACTCTACATTTTATTCAGAACACATTAGTTTTTCTTTAATGTCCTATTTACTTTCTCCACTTGCTTCCTGAAATGTAAATTTAAGGGCCTAAAGTTAAGTTTATTCGACTTAAAATAAACTTAACTTAAATGTAAGTTACAGGGCCATTTTCTCAAATCCCCTCAAAAACATGATGGGTTCTGATCTATTTGTTTCCAGTTAGTTCCATGTGCCAGTAACTACATCCAATGTTCTTGTTTAGACATAATCCTCATGCTTAATTTATGTATTTATTTTTGCTTCCTTGTACCATGCCTCTTTAAACCTTAATGACAGTTTTTTGTTTTGTTTTAGTTTGTTTTGTTTTGTTTTGAGATGGAGTCTTGCTCTGTTGCCCAGGCTGGAGTGCAGCGGCGGGACCTCGGCTCACTGCAACCTCCGCCTCCCAGGTTCAAGCAATTCTCCTGCCTCAGCCTCCTGAGTAGCTGGGATTACAGGCACCAGCCACCATGCCCAGCTGATTTTTGTATTTTTAGTAGAGACGGGGGTTTCACCATGTTGGCTAGGATGGTCTTGACTTCCTGACCCCATGATCCACCTGCTTCAGACTCCCAAAGTGCTGGGATTACAGGTGTGAGCCACTGCACCTGACCTATGACAGTTAAGTTGAAGCCATGATGATTAATCTGACCTCAACCTCCTCAATCTTGTTTCCTTCTGATTAGGATTTACAGAGATTTTGCCAAATGCCTCTCCCAAAGCGTTGTAGCATATCACACCCTAACAAGGTATATGATTGAATTATGATTGAATAGAAGGGATTCCGATCACTAGATCTAGAAGTTTAGTAGCTAAAAGTTCAGGGAGTTCCCATCTAATGACTTCTATTTTCTCTATTGTAATACTACTTATACTTACCAATATTTTTGTTTATTTATGAGTTTATATAAAGCTATTTTCAGAGAACAAATGTTGCCATTAATAGAGACATTTCTTCATGTTATACAGTTATCTATTTTTCAGGACATTTACAAAATTCTACAATGACTTAAAAACAAAAATTTTACTCTCTCATTTCCAGCACTCAGCCTCACAGGCAAACAGAAATCCATGAATCCTTAATACAAAAATCAGACACAAAATATTGCTGTCATAGAAAAATGATTAATTAAGCAGAAATTTTATTTCCAAGCTCTTCAAAGACTGTTACAAACACAAATAACACATCCTTCTAAAAAAAAAAAAAAAGTGTCCCAAATTAAAGGCACATCATCAAAGTAAAACACTTGTGACATTAAGAATTCTTTTAGGTTGTAATATTTTCATGTTAGTTTTTAACCATTTACAATGTTCTGTGGGTCACACTTTAAACATTTTAAAATATATGAAATCCTGTATTTCTTTAAGTACAGCTACAACTACAAAGCAGAGGAACTTGAGAATACAAAGATCAAATCGGCTTCATTTATATACACCATGGGGCAGCCTAATGCACATCACAACATTAACTTTTCCAAACAAATCTGCTAAGAAACTGCTGCCATATTTAGTGTTAAAAATAAAACAATCTTCCCATTTAGAAAAATCAAGACATCAGTCGATTAGTAAAACCCATTCTTCCCCCTCCAGCAATTTATACTTTGTCTTCATTTAGGAATTGTAAATTCATGAGAACAATTTTTTTATGGTATAAAAATCTACCAGGAACAAATTACAAGTATTCAACTTTTTAAATAATATTTTCCTTCCTAAAATGTAAACATCCAGTAAATAAAACATACATGATATTCCAGGTATGGAAAGATTAGCAACTCACTTATGAAAGAGGTGCGTTTTGGTATATTTGGTGGTAAGGTTTTTGTCTTATGCATAAAAGTATTTCGACAGAAAACCAGGTTATCACTATTTAAAACTCTATTCTTTCACCCAGTTTCCTTACTTGAGTAGAAACTCATGAATTTCTGTGATTTCGGCTATAGGACCGGACCCCAGGAAAGGGCTGAAATATCTCTTAAAGTCACTTGGCTAGGGAAAAGTGTTTTCTTGAGACTTGAAGGCAGTCATTCATCACTTTGTGCTTGAAGGCACTCCTCAGTGAACTTCTCTCCTACTGGAAAAAGAGTTTGGTTTTTACTTTAGTAAGATTTATTTAGAAAATTAACTCATCATCATTTTATAGGGTACTTTAGCATTCACAAAATAGAAAGTAACAGGTGAGCCAGGTGCAGTGGTTCACACCTGTAATCCCAGCACTTTGGGGGGCCAAGGCTGGTGGCTCACCTGAGGTTGAGAGTTCAAACCAGTCTGACCAACATAGAGAAGCCCCGTCTCTACTAAAAATACAAAAAAATTAGCCAGGCATGATGGCGGGCACCTATAATCCCAGCTACTCGGGAGGCTGAGGCAGGAGAATCGCTTGAACCCAGGAGGTGGAGGTGGTGGTGAGCTGAGATTGCACCATTGCACTATAACCTGGGCAACAAGTGCAAACCTCTGTCTCAAAAAAAAAAAAAAATAAAGTAACAGTTGAATACAAAAAACATCTAAATCACACCACTGAATGAGCAGCACCCATGAAAGTGCTTTGTATGTAAGGCCAGTCACAGTGGCTCATGCCTGTAATCCCAGCACTTTGGGAGGCCAAGGCAGGCAGATCACCTGAGGTCAGGGGTTTAAGACCGGCCTGAGCAACATGGTGAAATCTTATCTCTGCTAAAAATACAAATTAGCCAGTCATGGTGGCACGCACCTGCAGTCCCAGCTACTCAGGAGGCTGAGGCAGGAGAATTGCTTGAACTCGGGAGGCGGAGGTTGCAGTGAGCCAAGATCGTGCCACTGCACTCTAGCTTGGGTGACAGAGGGAGACTCTGTCGAAAGAAAGAAAGAAAAGAAGAAAGGGAAGGAGGGAGGGAGGGAAGGAGGGAAGAAACGAGGGAGTTTTGTAAAATGAAAAATACTATGCCAACATAAAACTATTAACACCATAAATATGAATATTTTCCATTAAAAAGTACAATAGGATTTGATAGATTACTTCCTTCCCTTAAATGTGAACAATCTCCTTTTGCTACTAGTGAAGAAGGACCTCAGATACTTACTTACTGTATAAACACCCCTTAGAACACATCATTTGAAATATGTTGGTCCCAAAAGACTCTAATAATTCATGCCCTTGTCCTCTTAAAAAAAATATTGTGTCACATCTGTAATCCCAGCACTTTGGGAGACTGAGGCAGGCAGATCAGGCGGTCAGGAGTTTGAGACTAGCTAGTTTGAGACCAGCCTGGCTAATATGGTGAAACCCCATCTCTAATAAAAATACAAAACAATTAGATGGGTATGGAGGTGCACACCTTAGCTACTAGGGAGGCTGAGGCAGGAGAATTGCTTGAACCTGGGAAGCAGAGGTTGCAGTGAGCCGAGATCATGCCACTGCACTCCAGCCTGGGTGATGGGGCAAGACTCCGTCTTGGGGGCAGGGGAAGAAATTGTGAAATTGACTTCAATACAAAGCATTCGAACCAATGAAATTTCTAAAATGCCACCAGAGAGGTGTTTTCCTTTATCAATTTTTAAAGCTCTTTTAACCCCTCTCACACTTTTTCCCAATAGCTACATTTCTTCTTCCATTAAAACACAGAGATATGTTCTGAAAACCATTAGGAAAGAAATCACAGTGGGTGGTAGGCACACACCTCCCACTCTGGGAAGTCCTTAGTCCCAAGGTCAGTTGATAGGACCAAGCAGCAAATCACAACCCTGGGATGCTGGAAGAGCAGAGGGTGGGCTTAAGGTCAAGAAATTACTGGCCGGGTGCAGTGGCTCATGCTAGTAATCCCAGCACTTTGGGAGGCCAAGGCAGGTAGATAATCTGAGGTCAGGAGTTCGAGACCAGTCTGACTAATGTGGTGAAACCCCATCTCTACTAAAAATACAAAAATCAGCCAGGCGTGGTGGCATGCACCTGTAGTCCCAGCTACCGGGGAGGCTGAGACAGGAAAATTGCTTGAACCTGGGAGGTGGAGGTTGCAGTGAGCCAATCACGCCACTGCACTCCAGTCTGGGTGACAGAGCAAGACACTCCGTCTCCAAAAAAAAAAAGGAATTTACTACCAGCCAACTCAATTAAAGAGCTCAAGTACAGAAGGATATTGGCATCTCATGAGTTAGTGCCAAAGAAACTTCAGACTCTCCTAAATGGATGTATTCTACAGGCAACGTAACTATTCACAAGAATCACCCTTCAGGGAAAGTTGTGCATTTTGCTGGCTTTTATTTTAATTCCCCTAAGAATAGTAGACATTCAAAACTCAGTTGCTCAAATCTTTTGGGAAGCCCTGTGATCATGCTATGGCCCCAAGACATCATGGTGTATCATTACTCACGAGTCTTCAGAGTAAAGCACAGGATCTGGGCTCACGGAAGGGGTTACTTCCAGCTGGAACACCCACCAGCAGGGCATCCTTGCAGGCGTTCTGCATACAGTACTGCTGAAGCTCTGCAGCTGCCTGAGAGACCTGAAACAAAGGGACAGCATCATGGCATGGACAGCATCATGGCATGCTGCTCATAGCTGAGCCATCTGGCAGCCAAGGATGTTCTGAAAATGATCATCCAACCTGGTAAATATCAACTTTTTGTGACCTCCAAAAGTCTCTTTCTGCTGAAAGTTCTAATACTTGAACTACACAAAGGAAAGGTTACAATTTCTATGAACTTAAATTTAGATATTTTTGGGTTTAGTTGCTTATTCAACAAAGCCAAGAAAAAGCTGTATCTTTGATTCATTTAGAAATGTAGTTTTGAGACTGAATGGGTAAAGAAATAGCTCATTCTAGCATTCCCTTGACAAATTTTCACTTATATAAAGCATGCATTGATATATCCAAGTTTGCCAAATGAGCGAATTGTCGTAATGTTTACATGTCTGAAGCCTCATTCAGTCTGCTCCAAACAAGTGATAAAGTTCTTCCACCCTGCTTTTGAGGCAGTGTAGCTTACTGTTTAGGAATATAGCCTCTGGAACTGGAATGCCTGGACTCAAATTCAGCTGTCACTACCTATATAACCTTCGGCAAGTTACTCAACATCTCAGTAGCTGTTTTGTCATCTATGAAATATTTAGAAATAGAAACCCACCACACTGGGTTGCTGTAACAATTGAGTTCACATATGTAAAGCCCTTAAAATAGCCCAGACATATGTCAATACATTTGTGGTAGACTGCAAGTATGATCACAATAGTTTCCAGCTCCTCCCACCAAGAGGTAGAGTCTACTGACCCACCCCTTGTATCTGGGCTGACTTTGACCAGGAGAATATTGCAGAAATAAAGGGCAAATTCTAAGCTAGTCCTCAAGAATCTCTGCACCTACCTCTCTTGGTGCAGGTGGACCTGTAAGACAACCATCTGAATGAGGCTCAGCTAGCCTCCTGGAGGTCTTGTGGTGGAGAACTGGTAAGCCAGAACTAGCCACCTGTCTATCAACCTGCAGACATATGAGTGAGGCCATTCTTAAACACCCAGATACCAGCCAACACCCTATCTGATTGCAGATGCATGGGAGAGCCCAGAAGATCAGCAGAACTGTACAGTTCAACCTAGTTCAAACTGTCCATCTAAGAACTGAGTATAAATGGTTTTTTATTTTTTATTTTTTATCTTTTGGGGTTTCACCATGTTGGTCAGGCTGGTCTTGAACTCCTGACCTGAGGTGATTCACCCACCTTGGCCTCCAAAGTGCTTGGATTACAGGTGTGGGCCACCACGCTCAGCCTGTATAAATGTTTTAAGCCATTACATTTTGGGGTGATTTGTTAGGCAGCAAAAACTAACTGATACAATATTATTTCGCCTATTCTTATCTTGCATTTGATGCCTATTTCTACTTGGAGGCTTTTCTCATTGTACTTTGTGTGTGTGTGCATTAAAAGGTGTTTTTAGCCGGGTGTGGTGGTACATGCCTGTAATCCCAGCTTCTCAGGAGGCTGAGGCAGGAGAATCGCTCGAACCCAGGAGGCAGAGGGTATAGTGAGCTGACATCGTGCCACTGCACTCCAGCATGGGTGACAGAGCAAGACTCAGTCTCAAAAAAAAAAAAAAAAGGTGTTTTGAATAAAATTCACTCATATTGTATAAAAATGGTTCCAATTGGTGTTCAGGTATTACTACTAGTTTGTGTTAATTTTTCAAGCCTCCAAATAACTAGAAAATGAACTGTTTATGTTACAATTGCTGCCAAGTTTCTGGACAGCTCTAGGAATTTTGGTTGCATTAATGTAATGACAGTTTACTCCGTACTATATAAACACAAAATATAATATTGCCAGACTAATGCTGAAGTTTACTTTTCTCTCAATAGAAGCTCTCACATTTTCATGTTAATAATAATTGGAATTAGGGAAGGTGTAGGAAAAAATAATAATAATTGGAATTGTTATATATAACAGTTACTAATTCAAAAGAAATTGAGAATCAATTATGTTCAGGCTTGCTGTCTTTGCATTGGGGCAACAGGTAAACTCACACATGGTAGGTAGAAGGACACTATCTTCCAGGACCCTTGGAGAAATGAGACTAACTGAACTCTAGTCTAAAGAACATGGTTGGCCAGGCACAGTGGCTCATGCCTGTAATCCCAGCCCTTTGGGAAGCCAAGGCAGATGGATTAGCTGAGGTCAGGAGTTAGAGACCATCCTGGCAAACATAGAAAAACCTATTTCTACTAAAAATACAAAAATTAGCTGGGCATGGTGGCATGCACCTGTAGTCCCAGCTACTCAGGAGGCTGAGGCAGGAGAATTGCTTGAACCTGGGAGGCAGAGGTTGTAGTGAGCCAAGATTATGCCACTGCACTCCAGCCTGGGTGACAGAGTAAGACTCCATCTCAGAAAAACAAACAACAACAACAAAAAAAAAAAACAGGAAAAAGTTAAGGTAAGGGGATATGCAGAGAAAATAAAAGTAAACATGGTCAGCATCTCTCTAACACTAGCAAGGGAGAGAGGCTCTGGGCTAGGAGAATAGCAGCCCAAACACTTGCAAGCTATCCCCTGCCTGTGGAGGTGGGAGAACCTCCACCCAGGTTACCCGACTTTCCTTGGTTTGAGTCCATGTTTACCCAGCAACTTCTGGGAGGCTTCTCTAAAGGAGGAGTCCTTGGAAGGATACCAAGCATTTCAATAGCTGGGAAGGGATGTCCTCTATTATATGCTAGAAAATTGGTGTCCTGGTTTATTTTTCAGATAGCAAGTCTGTCAAAGAGAAGATACCTCTGGGTATGCTAAGCACATCCAACACTGAGTCCTGAAACGAGATAGATCAGACCCTCTAATGCTGTGACTCTATAAGGTATTGCCTGAGAGAACCCCTGCCAAGTATCCCAGATCACACTTCCATGACTGCACCTCTTAAATAAGCTTATTATCCTATTAGTTAATAAGCTTACTGTGAGCTTGGGCAATTCACCTGAATTATATGGCTGTCAGTTTTATCATCATTTTTCAAATGTAGATAAGAATATCTTTCCGGCTGGGTGCCATGGCTCACACCTGTAATCCCAGCACTTTGGGAGGCCAAGGCAGGAGGATCACCTGAGGTCAGGAGTTCGAGACCAGCCTGGCCAACATGACGAAACCCCATCTCTACTAAAAATACAAAAAAAAAGTTAGCCAGGCATGGTGGCAATATATATATATATATATATAATATATATACATTATAATATATATTATACATAATATAATATATAATATATATTATATATATTATACATAATATAATATATAATATATATTATATATATTATATAATATATATTGCATTATATATATATATTTTAAATATATATATATACATATATTTTTTTTTCCTAGCTACTTAGCAGGTAGGCAGGCATTTGACTGGCTCAGAGTTTTACTTTCCACCTCAGGTCCCCACATTGTCTTTGTGAATTTCCAACAACCCTGGTTTCAGTTCCCTGACTTCCTCTCCTCAAACAGCCTTCTCCTCAATGCCAACAGATACAGTTACAACACCTGTAACTGCTCCACTTCTGAAATTTTACACCCCAGTCTCCTACTCTCTGATCACAATCTCTCCTTCCCATCCAGGGTGCTGCCTCCTTTATTCTTCCTTTATTCTACTCTGACCTCACCAGGATCTCCAGGTGTCACCCCCTCCCCCTCTGTTTCACTCATCACCAGGAGGCTGGCTCCGTTCCTTCTCTATCCACCTAGGCTCAGCCCCTTTCTGGCCAGACCTTGACACCCTTGCCCTCCCGCCCCATCTCCACCTTTCTGATATACCTCTCCTGCTAACTCACTCCTCCATCAACTACCATTCACCTTCGGCACTCACATTCCAGGATGGCCAAAGGTTGCTGGAGTCTCTTTTGAGAAATGTGACCAGCAAATATGACCAGCAGTCTCCCTTCTCACAGCAGCTTGGTCTTCAGAGTCACAGCGCATCTACCTGCCTGCTTAGGGCCACTCCCTTAGTCCCATTTCCTCTGCCTTAGAAGAAAACGTGGCCTCCTATTTCACAAAGAAAATTGTCACAAGTCTTTAAGCCCATATCCAAAAACATACTGTATCTTTACACGCATCTTTACCTTCTTTATTCCTGTCTCAGAAGCTGCACCACCAATCCCCCGCCTCCCGTAGCCCTGTCTCCTCTACCAGCAATTGGCTTCCATTTGTTTCTTCACTGGAACCTAAAAATATAATTTGTTCCTTCCTCTCAACCCCAAAACATGGCTTTTCATTTCTTAAGTTAAAAAAACACGTTATTTCCTCTTTAAAACTAGATCTCTTTAAAAAGAAGAAGAAAAAAGTCCGCCTGCCCTGTGACAGTCCAGATTCTGCTTTTACTAACACATAAGCCACCAAACCTCTACGTTCTACGCCCTCTCTCCCTTACCCTGTTTATAATCTTCACTCCACTTAGTATGTGAAGCGATGCTATGTATCTGTTAATTTGCTGTTTACCTTCCCATCCAGAACCACCCTATTCCCTGTAGCAGTGCCAGCCACACAGCAAAGGCGCCGCTGAGGCACAGGGACTACCCCGGGTGTATTCCTTCCTACAGACCTTCTGCAAATTATGCTGCACTGGTTGCTAACCACAGCTCTGCAACAGACGCCTTTTGGCCCACTAACTAACGCTGGACATGTTGACTGAGCCCCAGTTTTTGGAAATTCCCCCTTCCTTGCTCAGAAACCTTGCTGTCTCTTACTTCCTCTTCTCTCCGCCATCGGTGTGGCTGGTCCCTGGGTCCCAGGCTCTGGGCTCTGCTCTTCATAAAAGAGGCTTTTTCGCCTCCCTGCACTTGAATGATCTCTTTCAGCCCTGCGTGCTGTTTCAGGCCATGAGGACAAATCCCTCCCGGTGGTTCCCCGGAGTCCCCAGGTCCGCAGCCGAACTCATCCTGTCCCCGAACCCGCTCCCTCTCCTCTCTACCTTGGCGGGTGGCAGGGCCGTCCACCCCGTCACGACGACAGAAACCTTAGCATCCTGGCTCTCCTCCCTCTCGCTCTCATCCTGCCAATCCATCACTAAGTCGTGGCCCTGCGGTGGCCTTCCCAGCCCTGGGTCCCTCCTCCCGGCCCGCGAATCGCCGGCCGCCCGGGCGCCCTCCGAGGATCTGACCGCGGCCGCCTTCTGGAGTGGGCGTGGGCGCGCCCCAGGGGACCCGGCCCGGACCACGACCGCGCGGCCTCCCCAGGCGCGGACTTCTCCCGTAGGGCCCGGCCCCGGCTCGCCCTGCGCACCCCCTCCCCGCCACCCCCGCCGCCCCCAGACCCCGCCGAGGCCTCGCCGCTGCCGCCGCGTCCCCCAGCTGGCGCCCGGCCCGGGCCCCCGGCCTCCTCCTCTCACCACCCCGCGGGCGGAGGCACCGGAGTGTGGGTCCCCGGATCCCGCACCTTGATCCTCTCCACCGCTGCCTCCAGCTTGAGCTGCTCCACAAGGCGCTGCAGGGCGTTCGCGCTGGCACCGGAGGACATGGCGGCGGCGCTGAGCTCCGAGGGCTGCTGGGCCCGGCCGGGAGGGGAGGAGCCACCAGCCTCGAGCGAGGGCACCGCCCCGGGGCGGGGAAGCCTCTGTGCCCGCCCAGTCGCCCCAGCACACCCGGCGCGGAGCCGCAGGCCAGAGACAGCGGGGCCCGAGCAGAGGCCTTGCTCTCTGCTCCTCAGCGCTCGAAACCTGGGTGGCATCTGCAACCGGACCTAGAACCGAGTCGGGGACCAGCAAAGCGGGGCGTCTTCCAGCGAAGCTGGCGCCCCTAGCATGAGCAGGAATAGCGAAGGCGTGGGACACGAGGATGGCGTGGGCGGCAGGAAACACGCACCCCTTAGAAGTCAGAACTGGAGCCAAGGTATGACAGGAGTTGGAGAAATAAGGGGCCTTGCCAGACAGTATCCTCGGGGAACCAAGGACGGTTCATAGGATTTTCATGGGGCAGCAATCGATGTCTAAGTGAGCCTGTTACTGTTTCACGGAGATCCTACCAGTTGATTGGGTGGAGTGAGTATGGTAAATTGGGTAAAATCCCAGACCCTGACATCTGGGATACATACAGTACAAAATTACATTCAGCGTCTCTCACTCTCATCTCACCATTTAACTATCACCATTGTTTCTATTCTGCTGCTTTTTTCTTCTTTTTTTTTGAGGGTCTTTCTCAGTCACCCGGGATGGAGTGCAGTGGCATGATCACGGCTCCCTGCAGCTTCCACCTTCTGGGCCCAGGTGATCCTCCTGCCTCAGCATCCTGAGTAGCTGGGACTACAGATATGCAGCACCATGCCCTGCTAATTTTTGTATTTTTAGTAGAGACGGGGTTTCACCATGTTGGCCAGGCTGGTGTTGAACTCCTAGGCTCAGGTGATACTCCTGCCTCAGCCTCCTAAAGTGCTGACATTATAGGCCTGCTGCATTTTTTAAATAAATGTTTTACAAAACTGGGATCATTACTATATGTAAATTTTTTGTGTTGCTTTTTTCCATGTGTCATGAATATGTCATTAAGAATTCTTGCACACCATTGTATTTGTCAGAACTCATTTAAACTGAACAATGCAAAAGGTAATATATTGGCTTGTGTGACTGAAAAGTCCAAGGACTTTAAACTAGTGAATTCAAATACCCAAGTAATAATTTTAGGGCTCGCATCCTCCATCTTTTGACTCTGCTTTTTCTGAGATTGGCCTCATTTTCCTTGGTGGTAAATGACTCTCTAGTGGTATGAAGGAAGGCGCCACACTTTCACTGTCCCCATCTAGCAAATCCAGGAACAAAAGTATCTCTTTTCTTTCTAATTGTTCCAGCCGAAATCCCCATAATGAACCTCATTGGCTGGTATTGAGTCATGAGCCCGCCCCTGGCCTAATTACTATTTGAAGGCAAGGATGTGTGGCATTGAAATGCTCAGATTAGCTGTGCCTGGGCCAACAGCAGAGGGTGGGGCTAGATCAGCTCCACATATAGTGGGTGCTGAGAGGCACCACCCAAATCCCCCTTTCAAGACTGAGACACTCATACCCTCAACTGCTGGGAGTGGGGGCACTGATGCCTCGCAGCTGAGTCCTCTCTGTGAACTGACCTTATCCAGAGAGCCACCCATACCAAGGTCATACCCCTCCCAGTGTCAGCCCTCATCCAGTGACTGATGTGGAGTGTTTATATAAGGGCTGAACCCCAACCTTTTGCCTTAAGTTGGGACAACATTGAAGGATTATTCTAGCTCCAGAGCTCTTGCTAGAATAATCTGAGGCCTTCATGGCGGTTCATCACAGGTCAACTCCTCCCTCTGCCCAATCCCCACTTCCTGGACTCCCCGACAAGTATTGGTTTCAAGGATATTCCCCATGAACTTTCTGCATGAAAATTTCCATCTCAGGATCTGTTTCTCTAGGGAACCCAAACTAAAACGCCCATTCAAACAACATGGACTGGTTGGGGCATGGGGGAAGAATGGATCCCCAGAGGAGAATTAGGATGCCGATACAAGAAAGGGGCATGGGCCAATTAAAAAAAACAAGGCATACAACTATTAATTTTAATGACCACATGGTATTGCATTGTACAAGTGGATCACAAGTTATTTACCTACTGTATTAGCTTTCACACTGCTATAAAGAAATACCCAAGACTGGGTAATTTATAAAGAAAAGAGGTTTAATTGACTCACAGTTCCACATGGCTGGGGAGGCCTCAGGAAACTTACAATCATGACAGAAGGGGAAGCAAGCCCTCTTATATGGTGGCAGGTTAGAGAAAGAGAGAGTGAGAGAGAGAGAGAGAGAGAAGGGGAAACCACCACTTATAAAACCATCAGATCTTGTGAGAACTCCCTCACTGTCATGAGAACCATGAGAAGCATGGGGGAAACCACCCTTATGATCCAATCACCTCCCTTGACACTTGGGAATTACAGTTTGAGATGAGATTTGGGTGGCGACACAAAGCCAAACCATATCACCTACTATCCTATTCTTTAACACCTTGATGAACACCTTCAACAGTGTTTATATGTGTGTTGTATTTCCTTAGGATGCATCCCTGGAAGTGGAATTCATGGGTCAAAGCATATTAACTTTTTAAAGCTTTTTCCTACTATATCCTCCAGAAGGTGGTAGCAACTGATTTTCCTTCTGGAGGGCTGAGACTGCCTATTTCTGTGTACCCTCACAGCTCCTATTGTGGTTCTTTAATAGATGAAGAATGGTATCTTAAGTCTTCTAATGTCTTAACTATTGAGGCTGAACATTTCCTCTATTCATTCTGTGAGCTATGTGCCCATGGCTTGGGGGGATATTAAAGAGTTTTTCTTAGCTCATGACAAGAGATTTGCACATTTGAAAGCCCTCTCTAGTGGCCAGTTTCCTCACCACAAAGAACTTAATATATATTTTAGCAAAGAGATGAAAGTACATGTTGGGAACATTCAACTATCAATTCTTAGATTGATGAATAAGACAAAATAGAATGATTTCATATTTATTTAGATATTTTAAAGATACAGCAAAGAACTCTGTACAAAGATATACATACTGGATTAGGAAAGGCTCATCACAGATTGTGAGAGCTGGACCTTGGAGATGTGTCTTGCAGATGGCTCAGAAGAAAAGGAAGAACATTGCAGTATGGAGGAGAGCTGGAGGCAATGCTTACATGTAGAGTGAATAAATTTTAAAATAGAGGAGGCGCTAGTGAATAATAGTAGATACAAACTTGCTAGGGTCAGAAGTCATAGAAAACCTCACACACACACACACGTTTGTGATAAACAGTGGGATAGCCACAGGGTAAGACATTTGGGGAGTCTTAATCTGAGATGAATGTGCAAAATGAACTGAAGTTGAGAAGACAAGGTAGCTGTTGGTGGAGGCGTAGCTGGAATGAGGCCCTGGGTAGGACTCTTAGAGTAGGAATGAGGGGGAACAAATTTAGAAGACTAAATCAGTGGTACTTCATGGCAGTTACAAAATGCAAAGAAAAGAGGACAAAGCGTTCTGAAGCAGAGAGTAGACCAGAACTAACTCCACAACAGAAATAAGGAAACAAGACTTGGCTTGAGATGAGTAGAAAATAATGTGGGGTTTGGTTTGGGAGTAACTAAGTGTCTTCCATGGCACTGCGACATGCCTCTAGGCTGCTGAAAACGTTTAGCAGCCAAGATGTTATTGTGGGAGATGTTTCCACAGCAACGACAGCTGAGTAATGAGATTACCTCAAAATCATTAGAAATGAAGGCTTTGGCCGGCGCAGTGGCTCACGCCTGTAATCCTAACACTTTGGGAGGCCAAGGCAGGCAGATCACCTGAGGTCGGAAGTTCGAGACCAGCCTGGCCAACATGGCGAAACCCCGTCTCTACTAAAAATACGAAACTTAACTGGGAGTGATGACACACATCTGTAATCCCAGCTACTCAGGAGGCTGAGGCAGGAGAATCACTTGAACCCAGGGGGCGGAGGTTGTAGTGAGCTGAGATTGTGCAACTGCACTCCAGCCTGTGTGACAAAGCGAGACTCCATCTCAAAAAAAGAGAGAGAGAGAAAATAAACGAAGGTTCTGGAGTTCCCCTCAATGCAGGGACACACGTACGTCAGCCACTAGGTAGCAGGAAAAGTCTAGGGGGTGCCACTTGTACTTGAGGAAGGCTGACCTCTGTGTGATGCTCTAGACTTCCCCCAGAAGACTTCTCATACATTATTTTTGCATCATGGAATTTCAGAGTTGAAGGGAACCCTCAGATTGTGTGCCCCATCTACAATTTTAGAGATGAAGAAACAGACCCACTAAGGAAAGCGAAGTGACTTGCCTAGTATCACAGGAAGTGGGAGCAGGGAAAAGAACTTTCATTTTAGCTTTCAGGAGAACTCAGGCCAGACGTGGTGGCTCACGCCTATAATCCCAGCACTTTTGGAGGCCGAGGAGGGTGGATTACTTGAGTTCAGGAGTTAAAGACCAGTCTGGCCAACATAGTGAAAACCCGTCTGTACTCAAAACACGAAAATTAGCCAGGCATAGTGGCAGTTGTCTGTAGTCCCAGCTACTTGGGAGGCTGAGGCACAAGAATCACTTGAACCCGGGTGGTGGAGATTGCAGTGAGCTGAGACTGTGCCACTGCACTCCAGCCTGGGCAACAGAGCAAGACTCCATCAAAAAAAAAAAAAAAAAAAAAAAAAATTCGTGGCTCACCTAGAGGACCAGAGGCCTTTCTTTCTCACATGTGCCGTGATTTCCAGGGCTCTGAAAGGTGAGGGACAGAGACGGTACCCTTCTTTCCTTCTCGCCACAGCTGACATGCATAGGTCACCAGTATAATATTTTTAAAATTATGTTACACATTTTTTTCCTTGGTTAAGCACAGACTTGTAAATCTCATCTCCAAGAAACTTTCTAGAAATGTCACTATCCTTGTAATGACAAATGTTTCATTTGTTTCCCTGTTAGGATTTACAGTTCTTCACTCCTCTGACTTGCATTTTATCACCTTCCTACTAACAGTGGGTTATTCTTCTAGGAAAAAGGCTATGAGTCACTCTTTTCCATAAAAATGACATAATGGGAAGATATTTCTGTCAACATTATATCAAAATGACAATAATATATACCATCTATAGTTTGCAAAATGATTTAGAGTAGGAAAACACATTAACAACTATATTTAATGTGACACAGTATCATGTACCATAAAAATTATTTTACTTCCTTTTGTCTATTATTTTAAGAACCTAGAAATAATCAATCAGGATCTGAAAGAATCACCAGCAGGTTTGTAGATTCAGAATGGCTTTTCTGGAGAGATTTTCACAGGCACTTTTGAGACTTTGGGAGGTGGCAGAATGTAGGGCTATTAGATGTCTTTT